TTTGCGTACTTTTGCTTCAAACAAGCAATTTTACACAATTTTCTCTCTCAAAATCGACTCGATAATGTTTCTTTAAATTTGTTCCTCGTATGTAGCGAAGAACGATAAAGAAAGTGGCGCTAGTCCCATTTTCGGCGAACTCCCTGCAATTTAGAAAGTTGGATAAAATTCGAAATTGCAAGTTCCAATTTTTTGTGCTTCGTTTGACGAATGTCAGTTCGCAAAATGGCAACGCGGCGATTCGAGTTTGAAATTCTTATGCGTATTATCGGTTCCTCTAATCACTTAATTTCCGTCAATTACACGAATAATTTTATTTCAAACTGGAGTTCCTACCATATACCCCTATTTTCATCCTTGGTAAATCCACAAATTCAAGAATCCCCAAATATGATTTTCGATTTCTATAGACCTTTAAGCTCGGGCATATGAACAATAAATTAAAAATGCACATATTCTGAGACTTTTAAGACAAAATCCAGTAAAATCACATATAAAATAATTAAACAAAATAGGTATAATCACCATCAGGCAGAGGTCACAGTTAGCTAAAAGAAAACTAGTAAATATTAGAATAAAAATTCAAATTGTTAATATCATTGTTTCAGTTCAACTCCCCGAAAAACATTACCTGCTGCTCAGGAAGAAATAAATATATTAAATAAAAGAATTCATATCATTGTTAGTTGGTTGAATGCACTTTTTAAAGTTCAGAAGTGTTCTTGAGAGAGAAATTGCAATATTATACTAAGAAACATTTCAAAACATGAGGAAGTATGTGCTATTCAGCACCTCTAGTCTTTCACATTTTTGCAACAACTTTATCTCATACATCTCATCAGTTTCTTTTATTGTGTCATGACATTTTGCAAGTTATATTTTATTTTTATTTTTACTATTGCATTTTATCTAAATAAATTTGTACTTTATAATAATTTAGATTTCATAACTCGTAAAATAGTTTTTGGATTGAAATCGAATATTAATCCACATAGCCAATGCCTTTTCCTTTGTAACAGACCCAATGATGCAAATCTACTTTTTGACTAGTTTTCACTTTTGGTCCCTTATTAATAGCAGTTTACATTTACCTTTCACTGCATTATCTTCCTTCCCCTACAAAATTGCTACAATTGTTACCTAGATTATTTTGTTCATTGTACAGTATTTGCATATCAAATGGAACAATCCTATGTGAACAGTCCAAATATCAATTATTATAATGGAATTTTCATACATCACAGTGATAGGAGGGAAAGAGAGCTCAGGGCTCCTGAGTCAGGTGACTAGGTCCCCCTCCCCCCACTCAAAAAACAATATTTGTAATTTTATTCAAAATAATTACTGTATAGAGAACTCATCACATCCAGAGCAGTATCTTAATTTGAATATGCTCTAACTTTTTTTATATCATGCACACAATTAGAAAAATTACCATTTCAAAAACATTTATGAAGTCTTGAACTGAAATTGTGGGTCATTGTACTAAGGATAGAGCAGTTGGTAAACTGTTAATTTTCATTCAAAAACTGTCAGAACACCAGTATGATTAACAAAACGGAAATGTTCTAGGATTGATTAACAAAACGGAATAGAACTGATCGTATATAAATATTGGGGAAATGACTGGCATTATAATCTGGCTTTATTACAACACAAAAGGCTTGAACAATACGAATTGTTCAACGCGTTTCGATGATCCATTTGCACCCACGATCAATTTACGATTTGTCATTGACTTAATAAGCAAATCAATACATTTATATTGAAATGACGTATGTTAAAACATAATTGGGTTAATAATACAAGAAATTTGAGCTCCTCTTTGTAATTGAGTTAACGACGCAGAAACCAAATAAACAAAGAAATACGACGCCAATAATTTGAACAGTATGCATGTAAATAATTCTTCACCAATTGTTTACTCAAAGAGCAGAATTTGCACCATTGGACACGTAACGCCACAGAACTTCGAAAGATTTGTGGGAACTTTCTAAAACTGTGTTCCATGCTATCAAATTCCAGTGCCATACAAGAGATCAAATTCCAGTTTCTCAAACGGTGATAAACATTCCTAAAACATTTGGGTCTGGGGTCTTTTGGTAAAGAACATTTTCGAAAGATACAATTCCACGTCCACAAAGAAAGGAAAGACTTGTAATAGTCCCCTAGAATGCATTGAATATCTAGCATCCGGCGTGATTTCACATTTGCAGCTTTGCTACTGTCTGGCACTGGCACGTGTGTGACGACTGAAGCAGGCTGTGACCGATGATACGTGAGGTATGGCGATTTTACTGCGTCTATTTTTGATTTTTATGGATTTAACGTTTTTATTTAACATCTAAGAATCAACTCGGGTAATTGTTTTCATGTACTGTTTTACCAGTTACGAGCACTGTTGATTTAGTTTAGTTTCGTTGGCAATCTAGTTCGACACCCTGATTATGCTGATACATTAACCCGATTTGTGCTGTTGTTGGTAATTTTCGTTGTGTCTGTAAAATTCTTCTGTGTGAATATCCATTCGCGTCAATTTTGTCATTGAAGAAAGTTCGTGAAGTGAAGTAGAGTTTCGGTTGTCATGATTTGGAGTATTCTGTGATGATAAATAGTTTCAAATTTCCCTGACTTGAATGCGGTACCTTTTTGTTTTTGTAGTTTCATGGCGGCTTGAAATCATAGGTTAAGAGAGGAATGTTAACAATTAGGGCGAGATCATTGGGTACGTGAAGGTTAGTATTAATGTATTTTATTTCATTCAAGTACTCTAGTGCGTGGGATACATGAAGGTAACTCTAAATATCGTCACAAATATGTAATGAGATCGGATGATAGATTTAGTGCATGTCATCTCGCGAGTTGTTACTGTCTGGAAATAATTTGCAATTATCCGGCAATAAATACATCGAAATTAGATTACGTTATTGATAATATTGTTTGTTAAAAAGCCATAAATCGATGGAACACTTAAACGTTTATGATGGGAATTCTTAGTAGAACCAAGATTTCACAGTGATTCGATGAGTTTCAAAAATCGGACTCGGTTTGCCTTGGTGATAAGATACCCAACTTGCCGAAACCGGAATATGAATAGCGTTAATGTATTATAGTCCAGTATTTTTGATAACTTTTCATAATGAAAGCTGAAAATTGTTACACATGAAGATATATCCATTGGATGAATCATTAAAAGTGTGTTATTTATAATCAGAAGAAACTTGTTATAGTGAAAATGCTTTTGTCAAGTTAATAATCTTAACATAGCTTGTTACTAATTGTGTATATCTAGTTCTTAAAAACTGCTTTCTTTTTGCAGATTCTAGGTGCAGTTGATTTGTAATGAGCATATCCTTTGAATTGCTGAGAAGTGCCATATTTTATTCAGTAAGTTATAACTCTTCTAAGTAAGTTCTGTCTATTATTGTTTGCTTAGTTTAGAGTGTTGATGAATTTATGTTAAGGGGTCTTTTTATTACACCTATAATCAAATGTATTTTTTTATTTTCTTTGACAATTTGAACTATTGTGTCTTGTTGGAGCGTTACAATTTGTTTTCATAAAACAGAAATATATTAGCTAAGTTGGTAATATGTAAGTTGTTCTAGAAAGAAGATTAGAAATTATAATTCAAGAATCTGGTTAGTGACTGTCTTATTAAGATGTGTTATCTCTGAAGATGCTAAGTTTTTTAGATATATTTCATTTTCGTAAAAATCATTATGTTTGCTGTCAAAAAAAATAAAGTTCAGTGGTTTCAACATGTAGATTAGCATGAATTTTGGTGTGTGTCCTTTGTGGCTTCAGTGTTTTTTTGTAGATTCTTCATATAAGTTTTTGATACTGTACTTGACATACTTCACACTTGATGCATGGGTCTTATGATTATTAGTACAGAATTGGGACACACTGTTAACCCATGTCTGTCATAAGACCCTGTGTTAATTACTTGTGGCTGTTGTTGACTAGGAAATTGATCGTAGATAGTATGAGTGAGTATTTAGTGCTGATTTTTATTGTGTGTGAATTGAAAAACATTTTATGTGAGTTGAAAAAGTTTATTTAAGTACATGCTATTTTTTAAAAAAAAGGTCATCAGTTTTCGTGAGATCACTGTTTTTAAAGGGGTATTGTGAAATTAGATTGAGTTTTGTTTGTCATCTTCTTAGATTTATTATTTGTTTCAATTTAGCAATGTTTAATACAGTGAAATATTCGAGAATACTGCATTGTAACATTTATTGTTGCAGGATAGATTTTAGCCTATGACTAAAATATTGCTAGCCTTATGATAAAATTTCTTGTTCATGTATTTGAGTTCTGAAATGCCAGAATAATAGGTAATTAAGTTGCATAATGTAATGAACCTATAATATTGATATAGTAGACTTAAATAAATTTTAACAGAAATCAAATTGGTACTCTTGTCATAATTTGTGGAGATTTTCATTTTCAACAAAGGTGATGATAGCAGTTCTTGGCCAAATTTTGGAAATTAGTCTGTGTAATAAGGAAAAAATATTTACTAGTACTTCTTATACAAGGAAGGTTGGACAGGAATTATAATTTTGGTGAAGTGATGTTACTAATGGAATTATTGTTTTGTTACATTGTGTAGGAAGTTATTATGGGAATGTTGCCTTCATTATTTTATTTAAATGCCAAATAGCATAAAAATTAGTCAAATGAAATAAAATATTGAATGGATATAATTTCTATAAGCACATTTTAAAAACATTTGAGTTTAATTGATAAATTTTGTTAAACTGAAAGTCAGTGTTGCTAAGAAATTAGTTACTTTGTCATTGTTTGCTGTAATTTGTGATTGGAAAATAGCAATTCATATTAAGGTAAATAAGAAGTAAGAAAATAGCCAATCAAAATACTTTGCTGGGTCTCCTATTGTTTTAGATATGGAATTGATTGGTTATTTGAAATTGCACTTTTTGCCTGATTTTAAATTAGTATTTCATGAAGCCTTGTTTTTTTTTATTTTGCAGATTTAGTAGGTCAGAAGAAGACTGGTAATGCCAGTTCACAACACAAATAGGTGACTTTCCTATTTGTCAATTCAAAGATTATCAATAACACAAGTTCTGGAAGATTGTTACACTGGCCTGAATTCAGCACTTATTGGAAAACATGCTTGTCACCTTGAAAAATCTTCAACAGCAAACCTTTCAAGTTGAAATTGAAGCTTCGCAGACTGTTAAAAGTCTGAAAGAGAAGATTGAAGCTCAGAAAGGAAAGGAATATGCTGCAGAAAATCAAAGATTAATATATGCTGGCAAAATATTAACGGATGAAAGTGCATTAAGTGAATATAATATCGATGAAAAGAAATTTATAGTTGTAATGGTAACAAAGCCCAAGAGTGCACCTGCTCCTTACACTGGCCCAAGTGATCCTACGAATATTACTCCAGACCCTGCGCCTGCTTCCAGTACAACAACTTCAGCTTCAGCTGCTGCAACTGCTGCCGCAGTAACTGCATCGAAACAAGGAGACGGAGAAAGAACTGTTCAAGAAGATTCTGCCCGTACTACTACAACAACAGTTTCTGGTACGACTGCTGCCACTGCTACTCCTGCTTCCCAATCAGCTTCTAATATCCTTGAAGCCCAGTCTACATTGCTTATGGGTGAAGAATATAATCAAATGGTTCAGAACATTATGGACATGGGTTATGGTCGTGAGCAAGTAGAGCAAGCATTGAGGGCTAGTTTCAATAATCCGGATCGAGCAGTTGAATATTTGTTAACAGGGATACCTGCAGAAGTTCTAGAAGATAGGGATGTAGGTCCAGAAAATGAGGCAGTCATTGATCCTCCAGTATCTAATGTCGTAGCTTCTGGTGGTGGGGGTGGTGGTGGTGGAGGCGGCAGTGGTCCAACTAGTGATGACCCATTAGCATTTTTGAGGTCTCAACCACAGTTTCAGCAAATGCGGCAAGTCATTCAGCAAAATCCTCAGCTTCTGAACACCGTGCTTCAACAGATAGGGCAAACGAATCCAGCTTTATTACAGCTTATTTCTCAAAATCAAGAGGCCTTCGTTAGAATGTTGAATGAACCCATTGCGGGTGGAGGAAGTGGTGGGGGCAGTGGTGCAGAGTCTGTGGCTTCTGGTAATCAGTCAGCCAATGTCGGAGCTGACTCTGGAATGCTTGGGCCAGGTTTCATTCAAATCACCCCACAAGACAAGGAAGCTATTGAAAGGTTGAAAGCTCTTGGCTTTCCCGAGCATCTGGTCATTCAGGCATATTTTGCTTGCGAAAAGAATGAGAATTTGGCAGCAAACTTTCTACTTTCACAGAACATGGATGATTGATTACTTGAGGTCTTGACTATATGAACAGTACTTGACTTGTAGGCATCAATACACTATTTGTTTTGAGTGCAATATCTCAAGCAAGCCTTCCACAATATTCAAAGCATGTTCTGCTTATGTTTTGTTTCTTACTACACTGCTCTTTTAGCCTATGTTTTGCCGTATATCATTTGTATTGGGTGTAACTTGTATATCACCGGAACAAAAAATCCTCTTCAAAACGTTGTAATTTATTGATAGAGGAATAGGCACATTTCTCATTAACAGTGTCTGTGTAAAGATAAACAATTTTGCTATTGTAACATTAAATATTTTCTAAAAATGTGTTACTATTGGGAAGTTCTTTGGGTTTGAACTGTTGTACAGAGTACATGATTAACTAATTGGATGATCAGATCTCCTGTAAATGTATTGGTTATATTTCTCTTATGTTTCTGAAAAACATCATCTTCAGAACACTCATGTTCAGATATGATATCTCTGATTATTATGCTGGACAAAATGTCACAGATTTCGCTGAAATGATGTTGCTTTTGAATAGAAATATTATTACATAGCCTGCTTTGTCAGTTGGGAAGTATATTTGCATGAAGTTTTGTCTCAAATTTTGTTTTTGTTTTTTGAATATATTGTACATATGTTAACTACAGGTTTCTGCTCATCCAGTAGATATTGTCTGATTAAATATACAGTGTGACAATGCAAGGATCGTATAAATAAGCCAAGGGTTGTGTGGTTGTGTGTGATGAAATCATGAATTTTAGTGTCCTAGTTAGAATTTCATTAAACACTTAGTGCAAATCAGAAAGGTTTACTTGTGAAGTGGATATTGTGTTATATTTTTTGTCAGTTAAGTGTCGGCAAAAACATTAAGCATGCATAAAAGTTTATGTTTGAGATAGTTTTATAAAATGATTCAAATTTTAATTATTAGTATTTAATAATGTCTATATGGTTTGTTCTACATTTAAACGGAAAACTTTTGTGCACTGCTGTTAATACAACCACTACATCCCTTGGAAACGCATTGAGGTATTGTTTGTTAGTGACGTTCTATTTTGACTTGGGGATAGTTACTACATTACTCGCCTTTATTCTCAATTACCTACTAAACTAGGCAGTGAGAGTTTATAGTTCATACCTTTGACTGTTGAAAACATAATGAACATTGATTTTGAGTTTCTAAATAAAATTAAATTAGTGAAACAAGCAGAAAATGATCTTTTCCTCACTCCCTTCTCTGTTTCATATTTGACAAGTTTCATTTTGTGAAGAGATTGTTGACATATTGTATTAAATAGTGCCAATTGTCTATTTATTATAAAGGTGAAATGGGAATGATTCCTTGAAAGATATATGTGGATCTCCATTTTTCTTATCAACAGTATAAATTGGTATATGTGCACTACTTGAGACTTAATAGATTACTGTTGCTGCAGGACTGTTCTTTGCTTGTGCTTCTCCTTCATGAGAAGTGTAGATTCAGTGACTATAACGAAGATGAGATTGGAACATGTTAGACCTGCACATGGTGTCCTATAGGAAATACTGGTATTTTTTTAAAAGTGAAAATTACATTGATGGTTCCAAAATAATTCAACATCATAGACTGATAATTTGGAATTTCAATTGTTGGGTCAAAATGGTGAATAGGAAATGACTGGTCCATTCAATAGGTAATATGCTTCCTCTAGTCTTCCCAGATTACACTGTGAATTACTTTCGAGATTTTACTTCAACCATTTTTCAATGGTTTAATTATGCCAAAAGGCTTTGTGTGATAAGTTAAATAGTTTTGGTCTCAGCCAGTAAGTAGGCAAATTTCAATGGAGAGATGTAATCTAATTTACTTACAGGAGATTAATGTCTTCTAATCTTGCTATAAGTACTTCGTTGTAAAACCAGGTACTCAAATCGATATGTCATTACCAGAAAAATTGGTGTTCACACTTAATTTTTTTAATTACTTTCTTAATTTCCCCATTTTTTGATGTGTACTATTCTTTACTGTTGTGAAGACGTGTTCACATATGAAAAAATTGGTTTGCTCTTGTGAAGTTGTATGCAATTCACCACAGTGGTGTGCTGTGGGCAATGACCATGGTGACTACTGTGGTGCAATAAAGTTTTCTCTTTACATATCTGTTCCTTCAAACGTACTATGTTTTCATTTTTTAGTAATTTTTGATGTATGAAAAATTATTAAAATTTTCAACCTGACTTCCTTCATTTTTAGACAGTTCTTAAATCTGTTAACGTTTTGTGAAAAAATATTGATAGAGACAAATGTCCAAATTTTTAGTATTCCAGGAAATTTTTCAATGTTTTATATGATGATCAGTAGTGTTCAGTGCGAGATATTTTTTTGTCTCACTCCCTTACCTTAAAGCAAAGCTTTTTCTGTTTATCAATTTTGAAACAAAATGATTGGAAAGTGTGTTTCTTTTAAAATAAATTTATTAGTAAACAATAGTCAAACTTATGTTTAGTGGTATGGTTGATTTTTCTTAAATTTGAAGAGAGAGAGGCAACTGCATCCAATGAAGATCAACTTGCTTTTATTGTACACTGCTTCAGGAATAAAATATTTTCCAACTGTGCTCCATGGAAACTCACCAATCTCTGATGAAATGATGTTTGAGTGCATTATTTCAATAACACCAAAACTTACTGATGTTAAAACTTATTTTGCCTGGCACCATTTTGATTTCTAAATTTAGTTAGAATGGAGGTTGATACGATGATTGTACCACAGTCAACTTGTTTTTCAGTGACTTGCTAAATATATGAATACATAAATAGATTCACCTTTGGTTTTTTGAACCAACAATTTTATTTTTACATCAAGTTGGCAGACTGCAAACAACCATTAGTCATGGATTTGAAGAATAGAATTTGTTAATGTGAAATAATGTTTTCTGAATTAGAAATAAAAATTGATTGAACAGGGTGTACTTTACCTTTTAAAATAACGACTAAAGTAGTATGCTATAAAAGTATTTGTTATAATTTTGTAAGCAAATTAGCTAAACTTCACCATTTACAAGCTTGTATTTGTACATTATTCTTTAACAATTCATGTTGATTTATAATCTGAATGAAGAAATAAGATATCAAAGTTAAAATGGTCCAGAATATAACTTAAATAATTAGAGAGAACTATATCATATTGGTAAGTGAAGTTAGCAACTTTTTATTCTGCGAAGTACACCTGATTATATTAAATTCTTTTAATGTCTAGCCAATTGATTACATTCATTTCATGTCAGTGTATATTTTCTACCTGCATTAAACCATTACAGAGTACTGTATGATGTCATATGCTAATTTATTTATTTTAATTGAATTTCAACATAATTTAAGAGCATGGGGCTCAAATGTTTCAAAGATTTTTAAAACCACGGAAGAAAATTAAAATATTTTTGAATCTTAAATATTGATTTAGCTGAAATCGCTAATTGCAGGCTCATAGTAAGGGCTCTGATGGAAAAATCTTTCCATCAAGGATCTGAGTCGAAGGGCGAGATCAGTGTAAGAGGATTGTAAGAGGGCTTCAGCCCTGTTCCAAGCAATTTGTGGGTGGTTCTTACAGAGGTTGACGGGGAAGATCAACAGTTTTACAACTTTTTATAAATGCCCATGTAATGAATGGTTTGGACCTTAGAAGCGTGATAGCAATATAATTTGGCAATAAAAAAATGTTGCTACCAAGCTTAGTTGTCCAACAGTGTCTCAATGCAACAACGTTTTTTTTTTAACATTTTCTTGTACAGTGAGGTAATGCTTTACTAGAGTGGATATTGTAACATAACATACTTGGCACTACCAGTTTGAAATTGCTAGGGCACTCCCATAAGCAATCTGGGAATCAACAATAAAATTTGTAAGAAAAGAGAATGGGGGAATAAATTGTTGTCAGGTAAGAAATGTTAGATGAAGTAGAAAATCTTGGGCTTTTGTTTTATGGAGGTTTAAACTCTGGGAAATTAGATCAGATTCTTCTGTGATGTTGATAGGGTTTCTTAATTTGAAAATAGTAGCTGCTGGAGAGGAATATTAGGAATTAAAGAACTTGTCAATGTTTAATTGTGAGAAGAACAAATTCTCTACGCGATTCTTATGAATGTCTATATTATTGTATACACACAAAAAATAACAACAACAACAACAACTTTCCTTTCTAAATTTAAGACATTCAGATTTCTTTTTCATTGCTTCTATTCATAACAGTTGGAGTTGATGTTTCAACTGTCATCTTCTAGCCATCTTCAGGCCTCTGGTTTAAAGAAATATGTTACAATTTATAATACTGAATGCCATGCAGAAACGCTTTTATATTATTTTTAACAACAGATCAAAGGTGTCAATCAAACATTAGCTGCAATTCACAGTACTGGATAACAAAAAAATAATCAACTAGAGATTAAAAATCTTACAGTTAATAAGTATTTGTATTATATTTTTGTATAAGTTGACAGAGGCTTACCTTATTAGCAATCAAGTTGGGAGTGCAAATGAATAACTATGCAATTGTTTGCTGGTAACATACTATGGTGCTCTTACAGCAATGTGAAGGATTTTGTTAGGTTTGGAGAGTTTTTCTTACTGAAGGAGCAGTTCCACTCCACACAGGACATGCATAAAGTAAGAAGAGGGCAAAGGGTAGTTTTGTAAAGTAAAAGGGTGAGCTCTGTTTTAAGATTTTCGAGACCACATTGTCATCTAAACATGAAAACCATGTTTCAAATTTTTCTGAGTTACAAATTTGCACTCATGTCTCTGTTAAAGTCTATTAATGTTGTTCCAAAGGTGGTTAAGATTGGTGCAGGTGGTCACAAGATAAATGTAATTTTGTGCATGAAAATCATGATGGATTGTTAGAAGTTTGTGCCACAAATAACTGGCAGATAAGAAGCTTTTGAGTTGAAACTAATAATAAATCAGGAGTAAGGCCTAATTATGCTATTTGGAAAGTCAAAATATTTAAATTTTGGGGGTTGCTTTGCATGAAGTCCCTGTGATGCGTTCAAAATTTTCTTGAAAATGGCTACACATTTAACACATTTTTTCTTCATCATTTTGGCTTGAATAGAAGAAAGGATTTATGAATGTTGGTTCGGATTTTCATGAAAACCTTTGAAATTTATTTTCAGCTCTCCCCTACACCTCCAATATTACATCCAGAGATTTCTTTCTCAATGCAATTTCTCTATCTCAATTTTTAGATCTTTAATGGAGTTATGCATCATCTTTGAATGGTCAAGAATATGAGTAGTTTTTGAGGAGAAAGTTTCAGCAGGTGGTGTATTCCTACTATAAGTTAGTTTAGTTTTTAGACATATAGTTTTCTAGTTTGATTATTCCTTGATAGCTTTATACAATAATCGAATGAATATTGATAAATATCCTGAAATGTGCTACTCTATGTATTGTTGGTGTGTCTTGCCAAGGATTGAAATTTTAAAGTGAAAAATATATATTCCATGTGCCGTTAGTTTGTAATGTTTTATTAACTTGAACTCACAATGACTGGGATTCAAATTCCAGTCTGGGTAAAGATCTTTTTTTTATTTTTTAGTAAAAAATAGTGGAAAACATACTCAGTTCAGTTGAAATTCAGCTACATTTTAACTAAGGGAATAAAAAAAAGTTTTGCATTTTTTAAATTATTGAGCTTTGTTTGATTAGTAATATGTCAAATGGTGGCTGAAATATAAGTAATATTTTCGCTTATTTTTGGTTCACGAACGTAGGACTCTTGAAGCCTACTTCAGGAGATTGAGCAGCAGATATTTTGGTTTCGGGGCCTGTCGAACAACCTTTGACGCATGCGTGTTAGTCTTGAGAGATAGCGTCACAAAAATATCAGTCATTCCGCCACGTTACATAATGGGACACGAAATCTGTGGGCGGGACACATCCATCAACGTACAATTTTTACAATGGCACGTCAGAAACTTAGGATCAATGACAGTTTCCGTAATTTAACATAAAATCCATTGTGTTGTTGGGCTTCAACATATCAGTTATTAGGGGCGGATCCAGAGACAAATTTTGGGAGGGGAAACTCAAAATGTTTTGATAGATTGCGTCATTACAGATTTTGTATAATGTCGCAGGTTACACTCAGCTCATGCTGCGATACAATTTTATTCCTTTTAATGATTTATTCGTTTAAATATTTTGCTGGAAAGTATCGGGAGGGGGGTTCCCCCCTCGTGGATACGTGCCTGCAATTATAATATTTAGCCCCAGGTCGACGTTCTATTCCGTCTGCTATTCGCACGTTTGTGACTGCGACGAGAACTGAACACTCATATAACGCTGCGCGAATGGCTTATCTCTATTTTCTAACGTTGTCATACACTCAAATTTGCTACTGTTCTGCCACACAACGTCACTTAAAAATTAGTTTATTGGGATCTGATTATCCCCCGTCTCCAAAAGACGTGCAATGAATCTCTCAACCTCTGTGGCAGACCAAGTTATTTTGAATCATTGTAATATGATACACACGCCGAGTTTCAAACGTGGTAACAAAAAATCTACCTTTTATGGCGGGGGGCTTTCTAATGTTTTGATAGACTGGCTGACGAATGGCATGTGATGTAGCTGACAGGATGTAAAATCTCTTGAATTATCGGTCTCGGAATTGCAACAAAAGGATTTAAGGCTAAAAATTAATTTCGTGGATTATGTCATTAAGGAATGGCACACGCACATGCAACCAGCAACACACGTTACAAATGGACATAAAGGCGGCTCCTCACAATTGCCGTTCGCCGAATAGCGAGCGACTGCTCGCCCAATCAGGAGTTGTTGATGTGCGCGGCGAAAGTTCGTGTCCTTTGATGTGTCCTAAAGACCGACATACGATGGGTAGAGCGAACATCGTATTTCCTTTGCACGGCAAGTACCCAGCAACGCATCGGCACCAACTATGGATTTAGCGAGCTGTCGCTTGCTACTCGCCAGTAATATCACAAAATATAACTTAACGTGGTACATCTAAGCCACATTGTTGTTAAATGAAGGCTGCTCCTCACATTCGGTATTCGCCGAGCAGCGAGCTACTGCTTGCCGAATCCCGAGCAGCTGATGTGTTCGGCGAATGTTCGCTCCCTTTGATGTGTCCTAAGATCGAAACACGGTGTGGAGGGCGAATACCGAATGTGCGGCGCTCGGCGAATCGCAAGCAACCCGTCCACACTACTCGGAATTCACTGAATGCCGCATGTGTGGAGCCGCCGGCATGTGTGGCGGTTACAGGTGGAGCCGCCGGCATGAGTGTGCGATTCGAGCAAGATAGCGGGGTAGATCGGGTGATCGGGAGCCAGAATGAGGAGAAAATAGGCAGGGCGTTCGAATCGAGGTGTCCAAAGCGTGCAGAGGTTTGCAATACTAGAACTAAATATGCCAAGGGTTTTATTTTATTGAGCTTATGCATAGAATGCTTATTATGCGTAAGCATACAATGCTTATTATGCCTAAGCATAGAACGTTCATGCATGCATTATTAATGACTAGAGGGTGGATTGGAATACTCTAAAAACACCAAAATATAATGTATTTACACTCTTAATAAATTAATAAGTGAAATATGCATAAAAGTATCCAAATATATGCATAAAATGGGAGGTGTAAAGTCAATAAATTACTTAAAATATATACTTCTTCCATTAATTATATCAATTTAATGACCTTTCAAATCTGCCGCACAACTTCATTGTACAGAAGTATCAAATATCCATTTCCCAATAGAGATTCGTGAATTTTTCTTTGACCCTACTTCTCAAGGAAGTTTCGAAAATGGTTCAGTTTTTGAGCGCAGTACACGCACACAAGAGTACCATGTACATATCATCCTGGGTAACTTGCAACTTGTTGCTGCCACTGCTCGGTTTTGTTGCCAGGTACCACTTGTTTCTTTACAATTAACTTTTTACGTGTGCCACCAACATGATGTACTGTGCATTAAGGAATTTCTTGTCGCAAGGAGCCTTTTTTTATTTTTAGAAAAAAAGGTTATCCTGTATTTCACTCAAAATTACCCGAAAACTACTCATATTTTCGAAATAATATACGTGACGTAATTTCAAGATCTGTTTTTAAAGAACAAAATGCATTAAGAAAGAAAATATCTCTATTCAATATTGTATGTTTTAGGAAGACGCAAAAAATCCACTTTTCGAAAAATCAGGTATTTCACCGAAAATGAGACGAGTGGCCTTCTTTTAAGTGTCTTTTACACTATCCGAGGACAAAGTGTAATGAAAAATGGGAGTTAATACACAAATTGAAGCCATCTTTTAGAAGATTTTGAACAAGTAAATGAGGCTTCGTGTGAAATAACCCAAACATTTCTGAGATCCAATAGTGGATCGTGGCCCCGGAAAATATTTCACAAACTTAAATCGGTTTCTTAAATTTCATTAAGGAATATCGTTTCTTCTTTTATTGCACTGTACTTGATTTATGTTACACACACAAGCAATTTTTTTAAAAATGTTAGTTAGTTCCAAAGACTGCAAAACGTGAGTACTACACACAGTCTGTTCATTAGTGAATTTTGTATTCATATTATATCTAAAAAATCAACAGGATAAAAAAATACTTATATAAAGTCATATTGTAGGTTTTAGGTTATAAATGCTAGCATATTTCGCTGATATTTTGGTCATCAAAATCCGGGTCCTAATAATCAGCAATCAAAACTTTTTAAAGGAAAAGAAGTGTATATGTTCTAAGTTAAATCTGTTACCTTCCTTCAATCTATTTTCTTTAATAAGAATGCTATCTACATCATACTATTAACACGACTGACAATGATAATTCTAAGAATTTCCAACCACTGTGTTACCATTTTGCGAACTGAGAGCGCGACAAAGCACGGGAAATTAGATTCTACTACTTTTTTCTAATTTTCAAAAATACAGGGAGAGCACCGAAAATAGGATCATCTCCATTTTAGTTATCGTTATTTGCTGCATATGTGAAACATTAACAATAGAGTAGTTTTTGACAAAATACTTGTTTAAAATTTAAAAATTGCCAACGTTTATTTTACAAAATTTCGCAAAAATACTAATATTTTCGAAAATTTCCTTATTTGAAACTGTTTCTGATGAGCACATTTCATTAAGGAACAAAATTTACCTTTATGTTTCGAAAAATCAGGAATTTTAAAGAAATTTGGACCACCAATATCTTAAGCTTCCTTTACGATATTCGAGGACAAAATTTAATCAACAAATTTGAAGCAGCTTCTTTTAA